ATACGTTCCAAGGCCAGGGTCCTTTACTTAAATAGTAGTAGCCGTAGCTGGTTGGGGAGATAAGTGTTTCATAAATTAAAACTCATGCTTAGTATGGGATTCGAAGGGGCAGTTGCTGTTTTTTGAAAAGTAGCCAGGTTTCCAATAGGTTAAATTGGGGCAGATATCCCTGATTGGCCAGCTCCCTCTCAGCTGCTAAATATGGCAGGCAGTTTGTTCAATAAACAAAAATAAGAAGCTGAGCTTTGAGAACTGCCTGTAAGAGAGGGGGAAAAAACATAAAAATCAATACTTTGTCTCAACCACAGCAATAAGTAGCTAAATGAATGATATTTTAAAAAGCTTACTGTATAATAGAATCACAGTAATGATCAATTACATTTATCCAGGAAAGTTACTTGTTTAGCCCAACATTCACATTTTACTAATGGATGATTGCTGCAGTTCATTATTTCAATGTGCTTCATTTGGAAATGAAAATAATCCATTACAAGATTCATTATCACAATTTCAGTATGCGTAATTTGGGGATGGAAATGAATATGACAGAGGCTTTGTGTTATATAGAGGTTGCCCTTGTGTTTAAAAAGAGGGAGGCAGAAGGAAGAGATGTGAAAGAGTAGACCAAATTAATTTTGCATTTAACAGGCTGAGAGCCAATGAAGTAGCACAGTATGGATTGGAAGATTCCCAGTCACTTCTCCTGACTGAATGTAGCTGTTAACTCTGGTGTAGTAAATGAAAATGTGAGCTTCATTTTGTTATCTGTAGAGAACCACACATGTGAAAAGTGCTTTACACATCCTACTTTTTCATAGAGATGTGGAGCAAAAACAATTGGCATCCATAAAGCCTCAGTGGAAACACCCAAGCTGGGATGACCATGCTGTCTGTCTGAGAATGAAAGGACTCAGTAGATGTCTCCAGCAAAACTGGACAAGGCAGAAGCAGTTAAAAATTAGAGGTTGTAAAACCTAGGATAGGATACAGTAAGACAGGAAAGGGAAAGAATAAAGGGTTGAATTAAAACATAACCAAATTCTTAAAAATCACCTCCAGTTACAGCTGCAAGCATGTCTGCAAAGGCTGATCTAAATAGAAAATCCTTACGATGCTTCTATAAGATGTTATGATTCTAAAGTTCTTGGTGAGCATCAAGTGTCCCCTAGTATTCTGCAAGTTTCTACTTGCTCTTTCCTGCTTATCAGCACACTAACCCCTCTGAGTCTTACCATTGGCTGGCTCAGACCGCAGTTCTTGGGTGTCATGTAAGGGCAGCAAATAAATTATTAATTATTTAAGTTGTTGTATTTTCATTTTCAGGGATGGGAGCAGTATTTGTGATGGTAGTGGTGATGAAGATTTTATCTACTTCCATTATTATCCATCTTGACTTGGGCAGGCCAGTAAAATGACCTGGGCTGGACCTCTCCTATCCTCAGTATGATGTGATGTTCTCTTAAGAGTAGATTTTCCTACTGCACTATGGTTGCTATTATTTTGCTTTCTTCTGTACAGTGGTCCCTAAGAACACTGTGAATACATGAATCAGGATTTGAACATGTGTGTGTTTCAGTTTATCATTATGGCAGTCTAAATTCCTTGTGTCATTTCCTCGTGAGATGGGCAGTGTCTAAATTTGAAATATAAATAAATAAAAAATAAATAAATAAATTCATCTCACCCATGTTGGTTGGTTTTAAGATACCTGTGACCTTTTCTGGATCCATAAATGAATGTGGCCACTAGATCAAATATTTTTATGAAAGCTTTACTCAGAAGAATGTTGTTTAAGAATGCAAGAAATGTTTGTAGATCAAAGATCCACCCAAACCCTAGTGATAGGTGAGTCAGTTTCATTAAGTTGGATCATCTCATCATTAATTCAGTTTTTCCAACATTTCTTTGCCACTTCTCTGAAAAAAACCTTGTCTTTCTGATGGTTGGGGAGGGAAACCTTTGAAAAATCAAGTGATAAGAAGTTAGATCCCAGTAATCTTTGATAGTTCCTGCACACAAACAAGGAAGGGGGAATAGAACTTATGGAAGGAATTACTGCAGACCGGACCAAATCTTGTTTGGTTGGTTATTTGCTTATTACACAGACTTCAGTGCCATCCCAGATTGCTGACACTGAGCAATTTATAAAAAGGATGGTGTAACTCCAAATTAACAAATCCATTTGTTTCCATGAAGGCTATTATTTTGTAACAATAGTCAGTCTTCCATTTCCTCTACATAGCTAGGTCTCCACAACCCTCCAGAATATTAATAAGTACAAGGCTATCCTTGTCTCCGGGATTAAACTATTCCAAAGAGAGAGGTGCTTCTGGGGTCCAAATTTGAGATTGGACTTGGGCTGTGGCTTAGTTTAATACTGTGGGTGGGACACTCACGTTGGAGAAATTTTGCAAAATATTTTGCATTGGATTGTAATCTACCTTTTATTTCTGTCCTATGGGGTTGGGGGGGAGCAGTAGGAGAGAGAGGGATGGGGAACAATCCTTTAAATTGCAGGGAGTTTGATTTCATCTTTCAGATATCTTTCAAATCTTTCAGGAAGATTTCATATCTTTCAGATATGCAAATTTCAACTCCCAGAACTTTCATCATGGGAGCTGAAATTTGCATATCTGAAAGATGCCTTGGTTTGCTGGCTTGCTTGCTTGTTTAAACCACATATTGGCTGAGGGGGAAGGACGCCCATGATGATGATGACTATTATATCCCGCCATTCTAACAGTTTCGGAAACTCAAAATGATACTAACCTATATACTAATGTTTCTGTATAATTCCATTTTGCTAATATGCTAAAAGCCTCAGGCACTTTAGGGGCAATTGCAGGAAGTAAAGAAGCATCTGAACTGTGCCATAAAGAAGACACATGCCATCGTTTATGCTCTTAAATGTGTTCTTGTACCCTACTTCTAAAACGAGGTCCAAAAACGTATGATGTACAAGAATGTTCTCCTAAATGTTTAATCTATATTAATTATAGATTACCAGTCAGTGGTATAATAAGCAGCATGGCTAGGCTATGGAAGGACTTTTTATAAACCCCGTGTTCATAATTGGTATGCTTTTTATATTGCTGCTTCAGAATGGACAACAAGAATGGTTTCTTTTTGTCAAAGAACAATGTATGCATACTGTAGTCTTCTCGGCCTGCTGTCCCTCCTAGTATAGCACATGCTCTATGAAAATAAGGAATCAGGGTATCTAAAGAGAACGGACAACCGTGAAATCATTTCCATTACTCTGTCCAGCAACAGCAGCCACCATTCCAGCAGGCTGCAGCAGAGCCAAGGGGGAACACAATGGCACACCGTTTTTCTTCTCGTTTTTCTGATCTATTCCCTTGCAAGATGGTAATACTTTTCGTTCAGACAGAACAATGTTAGAACTTTGCAACCCACTAGTGCTAAAGTACTTTTTAATTTCTTCCTTCAGCATCTGAGTGATTTGTTGATCTTTTGTAAATCAATTTGGGATCCTTTCCTGCTGGGAAGTTCGAAATGTGTTGAATAGTTATAATCAGGAGTTTTCATGTGTGTTTTCTAGTTACACCCTGTTGACAGGTGGTAATGGGGATGATATCTGATAATAGTTTATTTGAAATAAAATTTTGGAGCGAAAATGTATTATAGTTTTTATGCAGTCGTTTAATTTCTGGAGCATTTCGGGTATAGGAAGGTATCCATGGGATATGTGTGGTCCCTGCCACAATAGCTACCTCGTCTGCCTCTTTAAACATTGCTGCTTTAATTTTTGAAAAAATGAATAAATGGGAAGCTGGCATGTTGTGACACAATAATCCGTTGTAATCTATTTACCAGAATGCACCGCATAAATAAAAGTATATCTATCTAAAATAACCTTGGAGGGTAAAAAGAGTGGGGAGGTAGGAGGGTGTGGTAGGGACCATTCTTACCAGTTTGTCACCTCATTTTGGAGTTACCAGTTGGTAACTTCCCACATTTACATGACAGCCATTAATGTCTAGACAAATCACATGCTATTAAATTTCAAATTTTTATTTTATTTTATTTAAAAGATTTATATGGCTAGCCATCTTAAAACCACAATCCTAGGCAGTTTACAACAGTTATATAAAATCAAACATCATGAAACAATAAAAGGGGGGGGGAGTAAAAGAAATGTGCCCACTAATCCAAAAGTTCCCATTTTTGCCTTCCTCAAGTTATTTTTTTTTGATAAATTAACAGAGAAAGGGAATGGGTTTAGAGATGGAGAATGGATTGGTTGTGCCTACCTTAATTCTTTTAACCTAAAATTGAACAGCAATATCTATAAGAGCACCCTTGTTTAAAGTCTCCTGAGATTTTTATTCATTATTTGCTCTAAAGATTTTCCAATCATAGAAAAATAATTTTTAAATCAGAAGTGGTCAGATTTGTTGATAACTTTTTGAGCTATTTGCAGTAGGTAAGTAAAACTGTCTGACTCCCAGCAATTTCCATACAGCAAGTAAAGGTCAGGTTAAAAGAAATCTCATAATTGGCCTTCTGCTTACCATTTATCTCAATCCTTCTATTTCCCACTTCTTAAATGAAGACTAATTATGGTTTTGTTTCCCAATTTGATATTTCTAGATGCCTTGGACACTAATCCTAAAATCATGGATTATGTGATGTTTAATTCCACATAACCTAAGGGCTCTGGGTTGGGAAAAGCTGGAGCAGAGTTTTGTACAGGCCATAGTATGCTGTAAATTAGAATCCCTTATCTCTCATAATGCAAATATCTGTACATATAGCTTATCCCATCACATGGTTCGTGGAGTATAATAAGGAATTGCTTTCCTTTTTTTTTTTTTTAAATATCTGACTCCATTCTTATCTGAGCCACCAGTTAGCAAAGTGGGTAGGAGAACTCTTAACAAGTAAACCCCATAAGCTTCAAATCTGCCCAAATCATAATACCCCATGCTAGACCTTGTTTTCCTAACTCTGTCTTTCTAACATATCTTGTATGGCAGGCAAAGCTTTGACCTATCTTCTGCTGCAGCCTCCCAGTCCCAAGCTTCCTCCTCATAGCACCATCAGAAGAACTGCCATTGATCTCATAGGAAGAGGGTTTACAGTCTGGGAGCCTTATATGGATGTGTCTGCTGTGCTGATGGGCCTCTTGGAACTCTGTGCTGATGCTGAAAAGCAGCTTGCAAAGTAAGTGTTCATCCCTTATTTGATTAGGAAGTAGAGATGTTTTATATGATGGGTCTCTCTTGTTTTTGATGGAGACATTTGGATCAAGTTTGCAATGGTCCAGTTTTTGATGGGCTGTCATTTCGATGAGCACATTTCACCAGTGCTTCAGACCCTCCACTGGCTTCTCATCTGCTTCTGGGTATAATTTGAAGTGTTCATTTTAACCTACAAAGCCCCATATGGCTTGGTGCCAAGCTACTTTCAGAACTATCTCTGCAGCCAGAATTGACTCAATTCATTTGTCCTGTGAGAAATTTCTTAATAGTCCCCATACTGCAGTATGAAGGGGCTGAAGCACACCACTATTATTTTACATGGCTGTGCCTGTACTATGGAACAGCCTCCCAGTTCATATCAGATTAGCTTCCAGATTGTTGGCATTCTGGAAAGATCAAGCTGTTCTGGAGGGCCTATGGTAAGTGAGAAGATGCTGATGTATGGTTGCTTGTTTTTGTATCAAATATTTTGTATTTCATATTGGTGAGTTTTAGGACCTCTTATCATTATTATATATAATT